GTGGGCGAGGGCGAAGCGGCGGAGACAAGCGCGCGGCCGTGCGAGCGCGTTCGCTCCGTTGCGCGCTGCGCCACGCCCGATTTCTCTCATTTACTCCGCCGGGGCAGAGCAGATCCGAGCTCGAAATAAGACGGAATGCGCTTTTGGGCTGCGGGCAACTAACTGCGGGCAACTAGCAAGAAGCGAAGTCCCGAACACCATTCGATTGGGCACACGTTCGAACAGTGGTACGGAGTAATTGCACTGGGCAATTTTATCCGCCTACTTTTTCCTATGTAGATGTGCAGTGTGACCAATCTATTTTGATACCTGTAAATGTTCCGTTCATGCTACTTCACGAACTTATGTATCATTGTGTATTCACATGATATTTCTTCACGCCAACTTCAAATCAAAGTTATTCTTAAAACAAGATTACCCCAATCTCTCCCCTGAAACAGATTTATCTCGAAAACATTCCTTTCTGGTAATGTACCTTTTGGCCAAGCGCGAGAGGCATCAGCTCTTCCAACGACAACAGTTTCAATCTACCTACTACAGGTTTTCTACCACGACTACCGCTCCATCACACCTGTAGTGCACCTACTGCTCCCTCTCAACAAGCGACTAGAACTGTCAATTTTTATTTTGTACATTTTTTATGAAGGCTTCCACAGCCGATGATCTGCCTCGGAAAATTCATATTAAAACTAGATTCGGGCAGGTTCCGTTAATCGAAAAGCAACAAGTCGTCCGTTTGAATTTCATGGGGGAAAACACATTAAAAACCGCAGCTGGAGTCTGACACATGGTGATGGCGCATGCTTAATTTTGCACCCGGAAACACCCACGAGAAAAACAACTATGAGTGGGATAGGCAACTTAGGCACACAAATGAAGACTGACGAGGATAGGAAATGTTAAAGCTGAGATAAGATTATCAAATCAAAAAAGGAATGAGGTAAATAGCGTAAAAGAGAGGATGAAAATGACTAAGAAAACTACTGTGGCTATGACGAAGAGAGAGCGAACTCCTTCCTCAACTGGTTATTTATACATCTCTCCATAATTGACAGTTTTCAACAATATTTGACGTTAAATAAAAAGTTCATATAATAACAAGTTTAATTGAATATTTCGAGCCGATTTCGAAATAAAGTTCAGGATTAAAGTGAAGTAATTCCGTAATCAAAATACCCGGTTTAATCTGACAGAGCGCTGAGTATTTTCAAAACAATCCGGAAATATTAATTTTGGAGAAAATTCTCTGAAGGTTTTAGGCGCTACCATTGATCACAGTCGGTCAGTGAAACGATTTGCTGTCAATGTTTTTTTTCGATATCTAGGGCCGACAAAATGTGGATTCTGACTACACAATGATTTAGAGGAAGTAATTTATTACATATAGGAATAAGATTTACCAATTTTTCCGATACCAGGACCCCAAATACGAGTTGTTTAAAAATCGCCGACGAAAAATATTACGACGCAAGTACGTAATAAGTTGAGAATTAAAAATTATCGTAGCAGATACAGCACTTGTTGCATCGTTTTCCCATATAATCGCAATCGAATTGAGACATTTCTCATACCGTGGGATCAACACTTTCATCCCTTTGTCGTAAAAGTCTGCCGCTTGGGATAGGTAGTATTTGACAGTCACGTTGCACTCTACTGAGCAGCACTGCAGAATTTTCGGCTGATTGGACGCTCTCCACCACACGTTTCTTAACCACAATCGATTCTAGGTATCTTCCAAATATCGCCCCGTATGTATTGTGATAAGTACTGCACTGTCTTCGGCCAGCGGAGAGAGCGGAGGCGCTGGGGGAAGGGGGGGACGGGCAGACGCTCACGTGTTCGCCGAGCGGCGGAGCCTGCGGCTACCGCCCCCGCCCCGCAGGTGGGGCGCAGGGCCAGAGCGGAGGCGGGGATCACATGTCGCGGATGTGTGTGGGAGGGGAAGGGCGGCGGGAGGGGCGCACGGCCGGTGCAGCTGCGCGCCAGCCGCCCTCGCCCCCTCCTCCGACTTGGCCAAGGGGCTGGCACGCGCTTCAATTCGCCTTTCGGGAACAGGCCTCGCTTCACACCATGTACAATGCCACGTTACGTTCCAGTACACTGTAAGTACCTATTGAATTGGTTTGGATTGTAAAAAATGCCAAAACTCCTGTTTTAATGCATTCATCTACGAGTATATAAACAAACGTACGCAGTATTTAACGGCTAGTTCCTGCTAGATTATTTAACAGACTTTCATGATTTTTCATAGGTATGTAGAAGGATCAGGGCCCAACAATATATCATATTACTTTAACGACTGATTAGTAATATGCGGAGATAGTCTGAAAAATAAAGGGTTTAATGAGGTACACTTGAAACATAGATCTCCAGAAACACAGAAGCTATCATATTATATCGAAGCTGTAAAGATAACGATTTTGATGTCTCTCCTACTCAGCTTCCGGTGAACGGTCTTAAACAAGTGAGGAACCAAAGAAAAGAAAATAAAGGAGTGGTGGGCACTACATATTGAATAAATCGCGGCTTCCATTCATTAGTAAAAAGCTACGAAATTCGCGTAGTTTGAAATGCACGGCTAGAACGACGTCGTGCGCAACTTGGAAAGTTCGCGGGAAATGGAGTTGATTTAGCTGAGAACATCGTGTTGTGTGTTCGTTATAACGATTGTTTGTGACTATGAATTTGATGTACTTTCTTATAAATCATTCTTGTCATATCTACGAAAAACATTATTTCCTGCACAATTTTTCGAACATATGAGTAGTTCTCTAGTAATTTTGCATGACCTATAGACCTTTTTTGAACAGTTTCTCAAAAACGGCTCACGTTTTTTCGTTAAAAGTTCTCCTCGTATGTAGCGTGAAAGACTGGATAGAAAGTGTTGCTATTCAAATTTTCAACAAATTTGCTGTAATTTCGAGAATTAAAAAAAAAAAGCAAAAGTACAATATTGAAGGGATATTTTTGTCTAAGGCATTCACGAAATGACACAGCAACCTGGACCTCGTCAACCGAGATGAAAAGACGATAGAAGAGAGAAGAGGAAGGGCAGAGAGAAGAAGCGAGAGAACAGAAGAGAGGGGAGAAGGGAAAAAAGAAGAGGAGAGAAGAGGAAAACAGAAGAGAGAGAAGGAAAAAAGAAGAGAGAGAAGGAAAAAAGAAGAGAGAGAAGGAAAAAAGAAGAGAGGAGAGAAGGGGGAAAAGAAGAGAGGAGAGGCAGTGGTGCCTCGGCTGGCGCGCCGGGGGCCGTGATTTTGAGGCTTATTCCGTAAATAATTCGTTTGAAAATTCCTCGCTTTTCCCGCGAGCATTGGCAAATTGAATTACGCCTAATGAAGTATTCAGATGCTTTTAAGGGCGACGGATGAAGCTCCATATCATTCGCTGGCCGATCGATCTGGGGTCTCGCCGCCCCCCAGCCCCCCTTCCGCGCAAGACGGGCGTTCCGCGCATTTCTTCCATTTCCCGCCTCTTCGCCGTAATTTCATATGCTCTCGGGAGCGTTCGGCGCGGGTCCCAATATTTTATTTTATTTTACTTTATTCCATTTTCCCCACTCAAGACTTTTTCCCAAAGATTTTTACGGAAAACGCGAATACAGCCATAAACATATTTGAAAACACGAGGCAACCAAGTTACATTTTGTTGAGTTACATAACTTTTAACTTGGAGGTATCAATTTTGATGAAAATACTATGCATGGTTTAGAGGCTAGCATTGCTATAATCAGACAAACTGAGAAAATTTGTTACTGCCTTATCGGGAATTCTCAGAATGTGCTTTTCTGTCGAATAATCGGCACGTACCTCATGCATCTTTTCTCTTTCTACGAAGTCGATACGAGGACATAAATTCTATTTTTCCTTCTGTTTATCTAGGATTCATTTTAAAAAAAATGATAACAACATTGCACATAAATTGT